GAGAGAGGCAGGGTGTTTGTTAGGCCTGACTGCCTCGATCAATGTTCAGGAAACTCCTGGAACATATGAAAACCAAACGTTCTTACAGCGGTTAAGGGACAAGATACCACTTAGGTATCTATTACTAGCTGGTACAAGAGAGTCCTTACATTCAAACTTTAAATCACTCAGTCCACTCTTTTGTATGCAAATAGCTTCTGAAAGTAAGCATTACTGTCCCTTTGACCCTCATTCTCCAGAGAAAACTGGTCCTGGCTGGGTTAATTCCTGGCATGGCAGACATCACTATTTCATAGCGATGTTTGTTTGCCCAAACTTAAGGAAATGGAGTCTCCGAAAGGATTGTATAATTAAGCTTAGCATACTTAAGAAAGAAACTATAGAATGTAAAAAACTTACAAGGCTTAGGGATATTTTTTTCTTGAGAAAAGAATAATTTGGTTGTTAATGCATTTGCTTATCACAGATAAATTCTTGAACAGTTTGAGTAATTCCAGGAAATCACTAGAAGTTCATTATCAAAAGAAAGCACATATTTAACTTATACATTATATATATATATATATATATATATATATATATATATATATATGTCTTAGTTACTTTTTACTTGTTGCTGAGACAAAATACCTGAAGCCCAAGTTGGGAAAGGAAAGGTTTATTTCTTACAGTTTTTGGAGGTTTCAGTCCACACTCAGTTGGCTCCAAGGCAGGCAGGCATGGCTGGGCCACAGTTCATGATGGCTGCAAACGGCAAGCTGGAACCAGCAAAGAGCAAGAAACACCTTCTTCCTGCCATTACATCACATCCTGGCTCCACCCCTTTGTGGGTGGTTCACTGACACCATCAATCCAAGCACTAGACAATGAACGAATAACAAATGCACAATTCAAACTCGTGAGGCCTGGAGACCACAGACATAAACCATGACTATATATATATATATATATATATATATATATATATATATGATTTCCTATGCCTCGTAAATAATGCAAGGATCATTAATCTTGGTTCTCCAGAAACCTTTAGGAAGAGGGGCTACTCTATTCCAACCCAGTTCTGCTGCTGGCAGTCGTTTGCAGTTATGAGCATTTGGAATACAGATACTGGATCAAGATATTTACATTCTAATAAGTACACACGTGGATAAGCCCAAGCAGTATGCTGCACATCTCAGAGAGTTAGGTGGACACACAGCTCTTACACCAGACAACATCAAGCACATTGGATGGGGACCTACAGTTTTATCTGCCTTGGTTACCCATGGACAACTATGGTCAGAAAATACTACACAGAAAATTCCAGAAGTAAACAACGTGTAAGTGTGTTTGATAAACAGTGTGCATAAGTCACGCATCCTTGGGTGTAATGTGGTGAGACCCGGTATAGCCCCTTTCTCCCACTAAGGACATGAATCATCCGTCATCCAGCATCCAACCACCTGTCAGTCACTCAGGAGCCACCTCTGTTTGCTAGGCACTGCAGCATGTGGGTTCAGTCATCTTGATAATAAATACCGGAGAATTCTGAACCTAAACAGGAAATGAGAAGTCACCTTGTGACTTCTTGCTTTGCAGAGAAAGAAACCAATGAAGACCCTGAGATGGGACAGGCTTGTCCTTCATCCTATGACCTGGCATTATAAGGATGATTCTTAAATTGCTTTTGCTGGAGGCTAAGCCCACTTGAAATTATTTTGCTTTGAAAAAGTACATGGAGAAATGATTCATTCCAGTCGAGGGATGTCTATATGTTAGGATCAACCAGTTCATGACCTTCTTCTGCTCAAGAACATGGCCTCTGAGGTCCACAGTATGTCCCTAAAACCCAGCATGGAGCACACCACCCAGGCTGGCCCCGCAAAGCCTAAGGGAAGTAATGCTGTGGCCACACAGAGAATTCTCAGTGGAGACAGAGATCAGATGAACTGCTGCCACCCAGCACTCAAGTGGTCCCCCGTGCTGAGAGGCAAAAGAGGAAGAACTGAACATGGGGAGGGCAGAGGTGAGGGGAACGTGGGGCAGAGACTGTGACTCCAAGGCCATCCAGAGAAATTCCAGAGAGCACAGCCAGGGCCGAAATAGATGGTAAAAAATATGTCAAGGGAAAGATGATCTGACACAAAGAATGATTGTGGCCTCACGCTGTGAGAGAACAATGTTACAGGTAAACTTAATGCAAAGAAACTCACAATGAGACATACCTGGGAAAACTTAAAATGTCATCTACACACACACACACACACACACACAAGCGCGCGCGCACGTGCTGATCAGCAGACCATAGGCTCTGCCCCCACAGTACAGAAGCTGAGAGGATGCAGCGTGCACAGAACTCAGTGTAACTTAAAGCGCCTGGGATAAACATCTACCTGCGGTCCAACTCCTTCATGGACAGGAAGGGCTTCCTGACATGCGGGCATTTCTAACATGACCTTCGGGTGCCACAAACAAAGAAAAACAAACCTACAGTGAAGTGTTTTGGAGGAAGGAACAAAAAGCGCTAAATCAAGAAATAAGGAGGACAGTGTGGCTGAGAAAGAGTGGACTGGGATCATCTCTAAAGCCAGAGAGATGCACGGAAAGAAGGTGTGTGGCTGGGTGAAGTCCGACTGCAAAAATCTTCACCTTCCGCCACCTCTTCTTTTTCCTAAAAGAATTTAGCTCTATTTGTAAAATGCGAAAAGCTAATAGTAAGATATGTAACATCAAATTTAATTAACACCATCCGTGCATGGGGAAAGAAAAGGAACACATCCAGCATGTCACCTTTCCCAAAAGAAAGCCAGGCTACTGCTCAGGCAACTGACAGCTGAGGGAAGGTAGGCCTGGCAATGTGTTTGAACACATTAGGATGACCATTACACTGTTCTACACCTTCCTTCTAAAACTGAACCAATCATCCAACAAAATGGTCTTGGAAGGCAGGCAGGCAGGCAGGCAGGCAGGCAGGCAGGAAGGAAGGAAGGAAAGAAGAAATGAAAGAACCAGAGAAAAAAAGAAAAGAAAGAGAAAGACAAGCTGGGCATGGTGGCACATGCCTGTAATCCCAGCACTCGGGAGGCTGAGGCAGGAGGATCATTGCAAGTTCGAGACCAGGCTGGGCTACACAGTGAGCTCAAGGCCAGCCTGAACTTCATAGTGAGACCCTGTCTCAAAGAAGAGAGAGAGAGAGAGAGAGAGAGAGAGAGAGAGAGAGAGAGAGAGAGAGAGGAGAGAGAGATGGAATGAGGGAGGAAGAAAAGGAATACAGGTTTTTCCCTTTCCTACAACCACCATCATCATCAACAACAACAAAATATTTAAGGCATCAAACATATTGACATATGTGCATTTTTTGAGACAGGATCTCATGAGTTCAAGCCATCACGTATGGCCTTGAATTCCCAGTGATCCTCCTGCCTCAGCCTCCTGAGTGCTAGAATTGTTCACCACCACGCCCAGCCAACATATGTACATTTTATGAAGTAACTGTAACAATAACTACACATAGATTAATCTCTTATCAATGTAAAAGTTGAAGATTTTCTTTTCTAAGCAGCCACATGTTTTTTCAAAAAGCATGCCTAAATAGAACAATATGGATGACCAAAACATAATAGAACAGGCAAACATTCTTGAAACACTTGCATATTCACACAAAAGAATTTTATTTGGAATTCCTAAGATAAAACTAGACAGAGCTCAAATGAAAAACTAGGACAAACAGTAATTTCCAACTAATAGAATCCAGAACACAGAGACACTGTGTTCTTAAAATTTATGGACAAAAAATATGAACAAACTAATGTATTTGCAGAATTTTTAGCAACATGAGGAACTATATTTTATTTTTTTAAAATGGCAAAATTTGTACATTCAGTCAGAGTCTGCTCAGGAAAACATACAGACACATGTATGAATAAAGCTTTGAAAAATTAGACATTTAGGCACATAACTTTGAAGCTAGAATTTGTGTGCGCGTGCGCACACACACACACACACACACACACACACACACACACAGAGCAATACTGGGAGTTGAACCTTCTCATTGAGTTGGTCCTAGAACCATTTTTTCCTAAAATCTTGAGAAGGTCTTGCCAAGTTGCTAAATTGTCCAGGATATTCTGGTCCTCTTGCCTCAGCCTTCCAGAGTTTGAAGAACTAACTCTGGAATCCTGTGATGACAAAATGGTCTCCATTTTAAAATCATGTAAACCGGCACTCTGACTTCAGTTTCTGAGGTGTTTAAGATGATCAGATGCCATCATTTGAGCTTCCTCTTGCTCATGTACTATTGCTCACACAGAAACCAAAGCAGCCTCTGTTTTCACATAATAAGGGTTCAGTTCCTGTAACTGCACAGTTTGTGTGGTTAGACAGCTTGAACTTAACAGAAGTCAAAGATCACAGCATCTTTGGAAGCAATGCCCCAGTCACTACAAAGCTAAGTAGTGTTTATAGAATTTTTAGAAAGGAAGTTAGAAAAGCATGAATCTTTAGATAATTGTTACTCAGTTCCATAAAATCAGGCCATAAATTAGCCTTCAACGGTTTTCAGCAATGGTAGAAATGATGAACTGGTCCATGACGGATCTTCTCTCACGTTATCAACGCTTTCACTAACTAGGTAATTACTCATGTCATTCTGAGAAGGAAGGGTATTTGAATTGAAAGTCAGGTAATCTTTTTTACTTGTTGCTTATTGCAATAAAAATAGGTCTGCAAGTTATTTTTAAGTTCTACCCTGTTTAATTCCACTGCATGGTAACAAAGTCAAGGAAAACGGTCTTTGGCAGGGGTCAGGGAACCAGCACACGCACCACTGAGGGGCCTGCTCGTGTGGCAGAAGCTGGAACGACAGGTGACAGAACTCAGGAACCACCGTGCAAATAACCCCAAAGTCGTGTCTTTGGGAAGCCTTTCGTACTTGGTCATCCAACTGGCTATGCTAAGTTTATTAAATTTAAAGAGTCAAAAGTAAGCAAAAAGTATTTTACACGGTCTTTTACCTGTTTTTCTCTGTGAAGTAGCTGCTAAAGTGACGCGGCAGAACAACCTCAAGGTTCAAAATAAAATCACAAAGTATTAGCTGAATCTGAATGAGGAAGGTAAAGTTTCGAAGGACTTTCAGATTTGCCTGGAGGTCCAGTGTCTCATGCTGGGAATTTCCTTACTTGTCTTCCCTGTAGACAGGAACCCACGGCCTTCGGGAGATTGTTTTTATGGAAAAAATAAAACAAGATGTCACAGCAAGTAAAAGGAGAATAACAATAGTTAACACATTGCATATGGTTATCTTCAAAGTAAGTACTCAGAGTACAAAATATGGGCCTAAGAAATTCTCCAATCAATATTAACACGAACCTTTCTCTTCAGGGAGCTAAGAGAAACCAGTATCATAACTTGTATTTTTCCCTTTCCCTTTCTTCCTTCTCCTCCACCCTAGTTTCAGCAGTTTCTTCCTATGTCACACTATCTGTTGTACATTTTTGTCCTTATTTACTCTTCAGTTTCTCACATCAGGGAGAAAATACAGTGTTTACATAAGTGAGTCTAATTTATTTGTGAGTTGATCTCCAGTTTCATCCATTTACCTTTAAATGTCTCAAGTCTGTCCTTACTCATAGCTAAGTAGTACTCCACTGTATAAAAGACCACATCTTTTTAAAAATCTATTCTTTGATTGATGGACATTTGGAAACAGAAGAGACCTAGAATAGCAAAGGCAATCCTGGGCAACAAAGGCAAGAATGGGGACATCACAATACCTGACCTGAAATTATACTACAAAGCTACTGTGATAAAATCAGCATGGTACTGGCAAAAGAAAAGACCTGAAGATCAGTGGAACAGATTAGAAGATACAGGCACAACTCCAAACACATTCAACAACCTTATATTTGACAAAGTGGCCAAATACCTTCACTAGAAGAAAGATAACTTCCTTAATAAATAGTGCTGGAAAAACTGGCTTTCTGTATGCCAAAGACTAAACCTATATCCACATCTATCTAAAATTATGAATTAAACTAAAATCAAAATGAATCAAATATCTAAACATTAAAACAGAAACACTAAATCTGCTAGAAGAGAAAATAACTACAAATCTTGAAGCCAAAGGTATAGACAGAGAGTTCATGAAGAAAACCCGGATCACATGGGAAACTACAATCAATCAACAGCTGGAATTTTATCCTATTAAAAAGCTTTTGCACAGCAAAATAAATTACCAAAGGAATGAAAAGGCAACCCACAGAGTGGGGAAAAATTTGAGCCAGTTATTCCTCATACAAAAGACTTATATTTAAAACATAAAGAATTGAAAAAAAATCAGATTCCTGAAATTCAAAGACCCAGTCCAAAAATGGGCATCTGAGATGAATCTATATTTCTCAGATTAAGAAATATAAACAGCAAATAAAAATATAAAAAATGTTCACTGCCACTGATTATTAGAGGGATACAAATTAAACAACACTGAGATTGCATCTCACCCCAGAAAGAATGGCTGTCAATAAATCAACCAATCACAAATGCTGGCAGGGTGTGGGGAAAAGCCTCCCTTCTCTGCTGTTGGTGGGAGCACAGCCTGGTGCTTTTGGAGATTTTTGTATTTTGCAAAAAGTGGGTTTTTTAAAGGCATTCAAAAGGCACTGGTTGCATAGGGGCAGGTCTGGGCCACTGGGAGAGAAAACAGAACAAGGACTTGGTCAGAGTCTATAAATTATGGGGTAAATCCAACAGAAACTAGCTTAAAGCAGAGAGAAGAAAATAGAAAACATCGCATCTACATTATAGTCATACTGAAAAACCCATTTACATAGGAGGGATTGTGGAATATCCACCTGGTTATTACCAGGTAGTAGAAAAATATTTTCACCCATTGCTATCTACTAACGTGGTTACTTACTTAAATCGTCTCACTGCTCTCATCAGAGTTTCTATTGTTTAAATGACTAAAGTTTTATGTACGCTAAAACACGTTCCATTGCTACCTTGGTGTATAGAGCCAGAAAAAAATGTTGGCTTTCTCTTCTACTTTTCACTTTTAATTTCTACCTACGCTCTCTGTCTCAAAACAAAAGTGGGTGCATGCTACAGATTTTTTCTCAAAGTATGAGCCAGCAGCATGGACAGGCTGAGAGCCTAGAGGAAGCCCAGTAGCCCCGGCTCACGCTGGACTGACCAAATCAGAATCTGCATTTTACAAGATCCCCGGCCACTCAGCTGCCTGTTAAAGGGAACCGATTCTATCCGGTGACACTAAAAGCTTGATTGCTCCACCGTATCCTGCAGAAATACAAGGCGATGGGCCTACACACTTGTAATAGCGAAAAAATAAGAAACGGTGAAAATGTCAGGAGGAAGCAAATGAATCGTGCCAGTGACACAAGGCGGAGCACACTGTAGAGTGACCTCTTCCTTCAGCCTCTTTTCTTTCTCACTTCACAGATGCCCTGGCCCTGTCCTTTCATAACCAAAGGCCATCAGTGTTTGTCTAAATGGATGAAATCCACCACAGAGGGGCTACTGTGAATCCTTTACACAGCTGGAGCCAAGATGTTCTGTGACTTTTCTCCCAGATTATATGTAACACAAGTGTACTGTATATTTACAATTTTAAGGTTTGATGAAATGAAATATTTTGTCATCGAGTGAATAATGTTAAATATCTTAGGGCAAAAAACAAGCCAGACTGGAATACTGAATTTATCTTCTTTCTTTGATTGTAACTTCCTTTCTTCCTAGTAAAATAGTAAGCAAATAAGAGGCTGTACATTCACAGAGACAAGGAAATGCATTAGAAAATCGTAGTAGCTGATGAAAGACCAGCACTCTTGAGCACAGCTGAAATATGCATAAGCCTGATGCCAGTGGCTTGGAGAGCCAGCGTCTGGAAGCCACATCTTTGAGTGTCCTGCCCTCAAAGAGCAAGGCTACTACATGCATCCTGTGCCCCTGCAGAAAGTTGGCCAGGTGGGCAGGACCCCTGCATGTCTGTGGAACTGCAGATCACTCTCAAAAGTGAGCCCAGAGGATGGCCAGGAGATGAGAAAAGCCTTTACTGTGACAGGGAGGAAGCTGATGGGACTCACAAGCCATGCTCCCAGGAATGGGCGAAGGTCAATGCAGGACGCAAGAAGAAAGCCACAGTGTCACACATCATCACAGAGGCAAGAGAAGGCACACTGTCTATGCAGTAAGGGGAGGATGCGTGAAAAAGAAACCGAGGAATAAGAAAGTCAGAAAATGGAAAAAGTCATAGCATTGATATAGGGGAAGAAACCCCCAACCTGGTAGATGCCTGTATGACTTCATGGTCTCTAAAATCAAAGAATGAATTTTAGGAACAATGCAGGTTAAGAGCAGAATGTATTTATTGAGAGAAAGAAAGCTTCTATCTGAGAGAGACAATGTGGTCCCAGGCTGCCAAGGACTTTGTCTTTTCTAAGGCCTTTTATAGAGTAAAATCTCAAGGTGATGCAGGTTCAAGGTGGGGAAAAATAGGAACTCACCAAGTGGGCATGAGATGGGACAGAACTATGGTCAACCAGTAAGGTTACAAGTATAATTGCTCTGGTGAAATTGATTCAATCTGAATCAAACAGGGAAGCAAGTCAGTAACAAGCAAGCAGGCATACACAGTAGAGGGTCTTCCTGTAGCGGGTAGGGTGGGTCTAGTGGCTCCTTCCGGCTCCCTCAAGGTGACAGATACCTATTTAGAATATCAACCCCTGATGTTTGTCCTTGGGAAGTATGTAGGTGCATTTGTTTTATCTTTTGTCTGGAGACCCAGCCCACAGCAGGAGGTGTCTGTCTCCTCCAAGGCTATAAAGTATCTGGGTCTCTGCATGCACGGGCCTATTCCAGGATCCAGCTTTGTCTGACTGCCTATAATATTTCTATCTAACTCAGCTGACTGTAACAATATGATCAAAAATTCAATTTCAGGACTGGAAACCGAACTTGAGGAAATACCTCTTTAATCAGAACAAGGAGTTTAAAGTGAAGCAAGAAAATTTCAAGCAAGTGGAAATTATAGTGTTATTTAAGAGATACTAGGAGAACATTTCCCAGAAATGAAAGTTGTGCATTTCAAGACTGAAAGGATGAAAAGAGGTTCTCTTTAGAATATCAGAGATAAAAGAAAGTTCTGACAATTTCTGGAAGGGAAATTCTTGCAGAGGGTAAGGGGCAAGAGATGAGGGAGAACAACTCTGGTAGGCAGGGAGGCCAATGGCAGCAGACTTCTCCATGAGAGGCAGGACGCACAGCACCTAGGGACGGCCACAGTGCTCTGAAGAGAAGGAATTCAGGTTAGAATTCCACCCATAGCTAGGTTTTCCGGTTAAGGAGACACAGAAGTTATTTCAGTCACACACACACACGAACAAACAAGCACACCTCCCACAAATCATATCCCTGAAAAACCAGGAAAATGAGCATGGGAAGGAGAAAAAAGAATTCTCCGAATTCAGAGGGCCCCAGTCCCGCCTCTGTGGCAGGTGCTATGAGAAGTGAATTGGTCTGAGCACCCACGAGTTGTTTACTTGGAAAGAAAACAATAGTGCTACAACAATGGGCACTAAGGGCAGCGCAGCTGGGGAATGCCTTGCACTGCCCATCGTGCTGACACTCAGGAAGGAGCTAGAAGCCCAGCACTCAGGTTTCTCCCTCGGTTCTCAGACCTCACCTGCAATGGGAAGCCCAGATGGGGGGCTAAAGCACGAAGCTGTGTGGTCAGCTGGGCTGGAGGGAACCAATGCTGGTCAGAGGAGGGAGCACCTGGGGATTCTCCCTGGTTGATGATGGACCTCCTGACAGGGTTCTCCAGATGAGACAGCTTGGGAGGGGAGAGGCCGCTGGGCAAAGGTAGTCCACAGCTGTCCAGAGCAAGGCCAGGAGGGGTCACAGGCAGGATGGAAGATGTGGGATAAAATCCAACCCAAGAAGCAGGAAGACAGCCGAGGACAGGTTTCCTTAATGAAGAAGAGCTCAGGAGCCGTAGGGGTCCCCCAAGCCTCCATGGAGCCCCATCAAACCATTACGCGTGAGGTCCGAGAAACTGAGGGAAAAATTCAAGTGTCGTGCTTCTAATTCCCCTGGAAGGGCCCTTCCTGGGTGTCAGGATGATGGACAGGGCAAGTGTCTCGGCCTGCAGGTAAGTCCAGGGAGACCCTAGAGGGGGAGGGGGGATGACAAG